ATGGATGGATGGATGGATGGGTGGATGGATGGATGGATGGATGGATGGATGGATATCTGTTGGGTTCAGAAATCAATAGAAACGTAACTTTAATTTTTTTCTTCTTTTATGACCTTATAAGTTTATCATGCAGCATAAAGGACTTGTTTGACTTCCCTCTCCTTCCAGTCGTGTGTTTTCTGTTTCCATGGAGGTGCAGGACTTTACGTTGTAGTGAGAAATGAGGCCACAGCGAGTAAAAACTCCCAGAAACTTGCTCGGGGGGTTAAGAAGTGTATTTATCCAGAAGGCTGACGGTAACGCGGTGACTCCGGTGCGTGCACAGTAAACACTGACTAATGGTGTTTTGTAGCGACCACCGCTGTTCGTGAAATACTGATGCACTGTTCAGGGCTTCCTTTAAATAGGATCTCTCCAATTCACTGTTTTTTTTTTCTTTTTCACTCTTGTGTGCTGTTTCGTTGCTTTTATTTCTCCTCCCTTGCTGAATATTCACAGCCTCTTTAGCTCGGCTTTCAGGCGATGCTCGTTTGTGTGACAGAAGCTGATTTGTGTAACGCCGGCTGCCCTTCAGTCCCACACCTATGCTGTTTGCTCACACTTGTTGGGAATGGATTGACATTTACAAAATAGGGTCAGCACTCTTTGAAGTTCCACAACTGGTAGATGCCTTTTTTTTTTTTTGCAACAACACAAAACTCGGAGGGTACTTAATGGCTCACTTGTCACAACACTGCATTTGGAGCGTGCCATTTGCTTTTATCCATTTTCATCACAGGTGAAAAGGTGCCGCCGGCTGAAACAACCCAAAAACAATTGGCTCTCTCATAAAAGTCATCTATCTATTATTTTACATAAACCTCTCCGAGTGCAGCAGCACTGACGGCGCTGCTGTTCGACGTGACGCCGCGGCGTTCTCGCAGCCTGGCGGCGCTGCTCTGCTGATGCCGAAAAAGACAAAAGAGTGCAGAGGAAGAATGGCTCGGGGTGCCGGAGTTCTGGCACCAGGGCGGAATTACTTAAATTGCCTTCAGCTGTAGCTCCTTTCCTGGCAGACTTAGTTCTAATTAAACGTCCCCAGAATTTAACTTAATTACCTTAAGGGATAATCAGGCTCTCTTAAATATCATTTAAAGGTTGCAATTGTCATGGCTGCCAATGTAAATCCAGCCATCGCTCCTGATATCCACACAGCCCATTATCTTACTATTATCTCCCTCCTCCGTCCTCCTGCTCTCTCCCTCCATTCGTCCACTTCTGAAGCTTTGCATTACAGCCAAAGTCATACAGAAAAGGAGTCCTGGCAGCGCAGGTCATTCCTTTCTGTTCTCTTAAGACAAAAGGAAAAAAAAGGCAGACGGATAGAAAAAGCCAGTCGGCGGGGCACTTCATTGACTGACGGGGACCCGAGCAGCCATTAGCCTCAAGTGCTAAGAGACAACCACAGGGTGATTTCAATTACCCCGCTCTGCCCCAGCAGGACGACCGCGCAAATGGATGAAAGAATATTTTTGGGTGAAGTAAGTGACAGGATTGAGAGAAAAAAGAAAACGTATACGTTGTGTAACTCCGTCCTGCTCCCGTTCTGTTGTCAAACAATAAGAGTTAAAGCAGTGAAAGGTGGAGGCGGGAGGAGGGA